TAATGGGAATTAGAAGAAAGTGCACAAAGAGGAAAAATATATGACCAACCTGTCATCAAGGAAGGATAATTGACTTTTGAATATCAGTTCTCATTGAGTTTTAAGATATAATGGAAGACTAACTTCAAAGACAAAGATATCTGAAAGGACAATGGTCCTGGCTTTGTCTTCAGGCATATTATAATTTCCATGCTTTTTCAAATTGTTGTTTGGAAGTACAGGCTCTTCCCGATGCACAGTCACAGCAATTTCATGATTGTTTTGCTTTTTTCCATTTAAAATGGGCCTTTTAGCAGAGTAAAGTTGTTTATGTTGTTCTTGTTGTTTTGGCAAATAACTGTCACTGAAGAGGTCCATATTGTAAATATGCACATGGAAAAACATACGTCACCCTGTTATACCTAAGAAATACTCATGGTGTCAGTGTGTACTAGTGAACAAGAAGTCACGGCCATTCTCCACCCTTCAGTGTCAACGAATTTAAAACCTGATTCTGCTATTGTGCCGCAGTTCACATAACACGTTTCGTGTATGACTGCATTGTGACGTTTTGTGTTTATTGGAAGAATTCACGGATGCATCGTTGACATATTTTGACCTGTTTGTTGATCATTTTGATATATAAGTGGTGTTTCTGGGAGTAACAATGGAATACAGCAGATTTGAGATTCACTACGGCCTTGCTTTCATTTTTCTTGCCCTCCTCCCCGTCTATGGAGACGTGAGTTACTCTGTTCCGGAAGAAATGAACCGTGGATCTGTAATCGGAAATATTGCAAAGGATCTGGGACTTGATTTGGGCAGACTGTCCGCTCGCAAAGCCCGAATTGATACAGAGGACAACAATGTTAAGTACTGCAGTGTAAATCTGAATACTGGGGACTTGATTGTTCAAGAAAGGATTGATAGAGAAGGGCTTTGTGCGAAAAAGGCATCGTGTGTTCTAAAACAGGAACTCGTTATGGAAAATCCATTAGAACTGCACCGTATTAGTATCCGTGTTCAGGATATTAATGATAATTCACCACAGTTTAAGGAGGATTCACTTAAGATTGAAATTCAAGAATCGGCAGTCAAGGGCTCGCGCTTTCTGCTAGATGAAGCACACGATGGAGATATCGGAGAAAATGCTGTTCAGGGCTACTCACTTCAAGAGAACGAACATTTCAAACTGAACGTTAAGTCAAAAGGCAGTGGAAGAAAATATGGGGAACTAGTCTTAGACAAAGAATTAGACAGAGAGGACAAAAACGAGATTATGCTGTTGCTTAGCGCATTTGATGGTGGCTCTCCTCAGAGATCAGGCACTGTGGTCATACACGTCACTGTCCTGGATGCTAATGATAATGTACCAGTGTTTAGCCAAACCGTCTATAAAGCCAGTCTGCCTGAAAACTCTCCTCTAGATACACTGGTGATCACAGTGAGTGCAACTGATGCAGACGAGGGAGTGAACGGTGAAGTTACTTACGGATTTGATCATGTTTCAGATGAACACCATGTTTTCTCTTTAAACTCTAAAACCGGAGACGTTAGAGTGGCTGGAGCCATTGATTATGAAAAAGAATGGTCTTATGAAATGCAGATCAGCGCCAAAGATGGTCTGGGATCGGCGTCATATGCAACTCTAATAATTGAAGTTACTGATATGAATGATAATGCCCCAGTTATATATCTGAAATCACTGTCCAACCCCATACCTGAGAACGTGTCACCTGGTACAGAGGTGGGCATCATTAACGTGCAGGACAGAGACTCAGAGAATAACAGACAGGTCCGCTGCTCCATTCAGCAGAATGTCCCTTTTAAGTTGGTTCCTTCTATTAAAAACTATTATTCTCTGGTGACCACAGGACAACTGGACCGTGAACTAGTGTCTGATTACAACATTACAATCACTGCCACTGACGAGGGCTCTCCACCTCTGTCCTCCTCTAAAACTGTTGAGTTATCTGTAGCTGACATCAACGACAACCCACCTGTGTTTGAGGAACAGTCGTACAGCGCATATGTGACTGAAAATAACAAACCTGGCTCCACTTTATGTTCCGTTACTGCTCGAGACCCCGACTGGAGACAAAACGGTACAGTGATTTATTCTCTGTTAGCTGGTGAGGTGAACGGTGCCCCGGTGTCCTCCTATCTGTCTGTTAACGGAGACACGGGGGTGATCCACGCTGTGAGGTCGTTTGATTATGAACAGTTCAGGAGCTTTAAAGTCCACGTGATGGCCAGAGACAACGGTTCTCCTCCGCTCAGCAGCAACGTGACCGTGAGTGTCTTCATATCAGATGTGAACGACAACTCTCCTCAGATACTGTACCCCGCCCCGGAGGGCAACTCCTTCATGACCGAGCTGGTCCCCAAAGCTGCACACGGAGGCTCTCTGGTGTCCAAAGTGATAGCGGTGGACGCGGACTCCGGACAGAACGCCTGGCTGTCCTATCATATAGTGAAATCCACTGATCCGGGACTTTTCACTATTGGTCTCCACAGCGGAGAGATCAGGACACAGCGGGACATTTCTGAATCTGACAGCATGAAACAGAACCTTATTGTGGCAGTGAAAGATAACGGACAGCCCTCTCTCTCTGCCACCTGTTCCATGTATTTACTTATTTCTGATAACTTGGCTGAGGTGCCAGAACTGAAGGATATTTCTTATGATGAGAAGAATTCCAAACTGACCTCTTACCTGATCATCGCTCTGGTGTGTGTGTCCACCTTTTTTCTGACTTTCATCATCATCATCCTGGGTGTGAGGTTTTGTCGCAGGAGAAAGCCCAGACTGTTGTTTGACGGAGCAGTCGCCATCCCCAGCGCTTATCTCCCTCCTAATTACGCAGATGTTGACGGCACAGGAACTTTACGCAGCACTTACAATTATGACGCGTACCTGACAACAGGTTCTAGAACCAGTGACTTTAAGTTCGTGACATCTTACAATGACAACACACTTCCTGCTGACCAGACTCTGAAGAAAAGTCCAACAGACTTTACTGATGCATTCGGAGGTTGTGATGTTTCTCCCGAGGTAGGGAAACTTTACATATCAGTAAACTCAATTTCACTTGTTCTGAAAAAGATATTTTGGTATTTTGCTTTTCCTTGTTGTGGTGGTACCATTCTTGTTTGTGGTGATGATTTGAAGCACTTTTAATGGTTCTCGAGGTCGTTTTGAAGTCATGATTTTCCTAAAGACTTCTAATTTCGTCCTCGAGTTAATCTCACGTTAAAAGCAACAATGCATCAAACGTCCACATCTTTACATTTGTTTTGACGGATCAAACTTCAAGTTTTTAAGTACTTTCATTGAAGTCTGCATCAAGTCCAATCATTTTTCTTTGATGACATAGATGCTATGCTCTTGCTCTAGTGAGGAAAACTCTTCTTGCTTTTTTCCTCTGTCCTAGGTGCTGAATTTCTTTCCATATTCTTATGCAGTTTTAGAGATAAATTGCCCTTGTGTTTCATGGTGTTTTCGTTTCTCCCCTCTGCAGATTTAAAAAAAAAATGTTACCTATGATACTGCTTTTACTGCAATAGGATTTTCTGGTAGTGAGGTTTTCATATCAATTTGTTCTTAATCTAAGCTGGTGTCATTTTAAGAGCGTCTTCTGGATCCATGGTCATTAGAATTTTAGTAGGCGCATTATTAGATCAGTATGAAATTAATGAAAATGGAGCCTTTGAGTTTTCCTGTTTTGTTAGTGGAGCCTCCTTTTCCCAAGCTGTCCCTCTAAATGTAAACGTTGTGATACGCTTTCATGAAAAATGTGTCCCCCCTCAAATTTACATGTTCTGCTCATTTATTTTATTAATATTCATTTTTTTCAGATGTAAATAGTACTTTTATAAACACATCGCAGTATAGATTAATGATCAATAAAAGCAAGACACTTCAATCAGATTTTGACATAGGAACTTGCCAAAACAGTATTTTTATCCTGGGTCAGTGGTAACATTTTTCTATCTGATAAATTTCGACTGTTGTAAAATAAACAAATTTAATTTTACCTCTGCACTCTTGATCTTTGCAACATCTGCTTATACCTGTCATATTTGTCAATCTTCAGAGTAACATAATGTGTTATAGAGCAACAGTTTTCACTATGTTTTAAAATGTATTCGAAAAATTTGAGTTTAAAGTTTTTGTTGCTCATCACAAGAGATTCAAGCATACATAGAAATGTATATCTGATCTCTCCTCCATCTTGTCATGAGCTTTGCAGGAATATCGATCTGTCTTAAAGTGCATTAACTTAACGTTTAAAACAGGCTATGATATATTTGAAAGCATACAAGAGTTCAGTTTATAATCTTGTAACCTGATCAGGTCTTGGCTAAAACTCGAGCTAAACTAAACACAAACCCGACAACGCCACCCTGGGAGTTCCACCCAGGGAATACACAGTATTATTGAACTCTACTCTGACCACACAAGTAAGTTTCACAAAAAAATTTAACAGAGACTTAGTTTTGAGATAGAAAGAGTTTTCTTTTACATTTAATTTCCTTCAGCGATGCAATGTTTAACACAATATAGTGACAATAAAATAACATCAAACTGAAGATTGGTCAATATATAGACTTCAGTGATTTTAGAATAGTTAAAAACTGAACTGAGGAAAGAACTATAAAAAAAATCAATAGGGAGGTGGAGAGCTGGACTAAAACGGAAACATACAAAAGGGGTTGCACTACTAGGTTGGCGTTAAACTACTACACAACAAACAAATCACCATAAAATATAAAAGCACACAAGCAAATAAACAAATAAAATCACAAGGCCACCCTTTAAAGGTTAGCGCTAAACCACTTCTGTATGAATCAAATTATTTTAAAACAATCACGAAATATATAAAATAAGCCCCACCACTAGACCAAAATATAAACAAATTACAGATATATGAAAAACATAAATAGACTAAAATCACTGAAGAAAACCCAGTACTTAAA